AAACTCTTTCGACTCTCTCACAGCGAGACTTCCGTGTCCACTGTAAAGAGAGATATGGAAAACAACGCGTTTACTGTTGCGTCACACCACAGCCCGACCGTATCCATGGGCCAGGACGTAACATAAGTAAAGATGAAAATATTACAAAAGCTAGTACAAAGAGTTCCACGTTTTTCCGCACGGCAATCGCACTGAGCCTCGAGACCCCGACAATACGAAAAACAGTTCTCCGAAAACGCTTGTGTCTTCTATGAATTTCTCGGAACGACTGCCTTCGTCAGAATTCCTACGCTTACACCTTGGTCGCGTAAGTCGCTATCCCTCGTTCTTATATCAGCTGTCGTCAGCTGATTGGCCCACGTGTATCGCCTCCGTACAAACATGTTTTCAATAGTCGAGAATAACGAATTCAAAAAGTTTCTTACAGCTCGACCATCCTGATGCGTCATTCGCCTCGAATGCCGCTTATTGCTGTAACAATCACAAGTAAATAGGGAATGAAATTTTTTAGAGATTATTTTACAAATAAAAATTTTTTTTAAAAACAATTGTAGTGATTGAGACTTTTGTCTTGCTTTAAGTAACGCTATACAATTCTCAATTTAGGAGTAGGATATATATTTTATTTAGAGTTCTTTTTTTTTTAAATAATTCACAAATATCGCAACTATTACTATCCATTATTCGCAACGGGTTTTACCTATGGTAGAAGACGATCAGCCGACTGAATCGTATTATACGACCTTTACGCTAAATTAAATCCTGGAATGTCGTGAACAACGTTGCGATTACTGCCGAGTATTTTTGCTATCATATACGGACCTTTGTAGCTCGGCTTAAGTTTGCTATTTTGTTTTGGTTTTTGCTGTGTATCGCGAATCAACACATAATCACCGATTTTGTACTTAGATGGCTGTTTATGCCTCAGATCGTATATCGATTTATTATATTGTCTAATTCTTTGGGTAGTTTCTATAGCTAGATCACGATTAACATTTCTCTCCTCACTCAAATCATGAGTGATATCAGTTAGCGCATTCACTAGCTCTACAATTTCGGCATCCGATTGATTCCTCAACTCGTATCCTAACAATAACTTCGAAAGAGATGATTTCAAGCTCGAATGTACCGTATTGTTAAGAACGTATTGCGCGACGTTCAGATAATCCTTCCAATCAGTTGGATCGTCCATCAATTTTCTTAGCGTAGACTTCAAAAATCTATTTACGCGCTCTACAATACCGTTCGCCCACGGAGCCGCTACCGCCACTAACCGGTGCTTAACTCGTAATTTTCCCATAAACGAGGAGAGGAGAACTCTTTTGACGAAAACGCAGTGCCTCTATCTGAAACCAAATTCTTGGGATTGCCAAAAATATTAAACAAAGATTGCAAACACTTGACGACTTCTTTAGTCCTTGTGGATTTAGTCGGAAAAAGCCACGTAAATCTCGTTAGCGAATCTACAATCACCAAAATGTGCTTGTTTCTATCTTTCGTTTCCTGCAAAAAACCGAAATGATCAATGTGCAACGTACCGAAAGGAAGTGTCTCAGCTTCAACCAGCTGCATTTCCCCCTCTTTAACGTGAGTCGATGTATTCGCTGTTAAGCACGTTAAGCAGTTCGCAACATAGTCATAGATCCTTTTTCGCATCGATGGAAACCAGTAATTGGCTATTACGGCGAGAAAAGTTTTTTCCGGCCCACAATGACCTAATTCATCGTGATAGGTTCTCAATACATTATGCACCATCTTTTCAGGCACTACAAAACGAGACTTATCTACCCCCTTTCCGGTAAACCAACTCTCAATTAACTGAAATTTTTCACTATCGGTGAATTCTAAGCTGTTCGCTATCGAGTTCAACTGTAGATCTCGCAACTGCTTGAACTCTAGCTCCCGTTCCAACGGTAAAGATTGTATTAGCGCTACGCATCTACTTAGCGCGTCGACGTGCGCCATTCGATTATCGGCTCGATGCCTCAAACTAAATCTATAGTTTTGGAGCCGTAGCGTCCATCGCGCAATCCGCGGGTTGAGGTTCGCCTTATTTACCGCATATACCAACGCGTTGCAGTCAGTGACCACCGTGAATTCAATGCCGTATAGATAGAGAGGAAACCGCTCGATGGATTTGACCATAGCGAGCATTTCCAACTCAAAACTATGATATTTAGATTCTGCATTATTAGTGCACTGACTGTAATACGCAATAGGCGTCCACTGACCATCAACCTGCTTCTACAAAAGTATTGCAGCTAGACCTAACGAGCTCGCGTCTGTGTGCAGCTCTGTTTCTGCTGCTAGATTATATAATCTTAGAACCGGGTAAGCTGTCAATTCATCTTTCAATAATTGAAACGATTGAACGAATTCTTTCGTAAATTTGAACAGCGACGATTTCCTAAGCAAGTTCTGCAATGGCTTAGCTTTATTGGCGTAATCTTTTATAAATTTTCTAAAATAATTTGTTAAGCCCAAGAATCGTTGTACTTCCGTAATGTTCGTTGGTTGCGGAAATTTATTCACCGCCTCCGTATGGCGTGTGCTCAACATAATGCCCTCTCGTGATATTATCTACCCTAAAAACTCGATTTGCCTTCTCAAAAATAAACATTTACCATAGTTTACTTCAAAACGGTATTTTTTAAGCGTCAGCAAAACTTCCTTGAGAATTTTTAGATTCGTCTCCACCAAGTGAGTCGCGATTAAAATATCGTCCATATACACAATTATCTTGTCTAATCAGCGGTTGTAAGATATTTACAATTCTTTTTGGGAACTCAGCGGGCGCGTCACAGTATCCGAACGGAAGTCTATTAAATTCAAATTGACCGTCCGGCGTAGAGAATGCGAAATATTTAGTGTGGCGTGAACTTTGATTTGATGGAATCCGTTTTTCAAATCTAATAATGAAAAAACGCTCCGATCGCCGATTCGCGTCAAACAATCTTTGATCAACGGGAACGGATATTTCTGCTTCAACACTTTTTCGTTCAACGGCCGCAAATCTACGCAAAGTCGCATTGTACCGTTTTTTTTTCTGCACCGGCACTACTCTAGCACAATATGGCGAAGAGCTCGCTTTAATAATTCCGCGTTCTAACAAATCATCGGTGATTGCTCTGATTTGATTTCTTTCAGACCACGCAAAACGTCTTGGTGCATACGCATACGGTGTATGATCCTTTAGTGCTACTGTCACGCGGTAGCCGTCATTTACCTCAGGAACGTCTGCTCGACGTATTTCTCGCAACAAGAATTGTAATTTCTTCCTCGTAGTTTCCTCAAAATCTACTTTAATCTCGCTCAACACAAGCTCAAACGGATCATTAATTTCGCACACAAGATGTGGTAAAACGTCCGAGAAAACAAACAAGTTTACTTGACTTTCCGGACGATTGGTATAACACCGAAATTTTATGTTTATTCAGCAAGTCACGTCCGATCACGATGTCAACACCAAGTGTGCTTTGCTTTAATATATAGAAATCTACCTTCAAAACTACATCAGGCAGTTGTTCCAAGGTTATCGCTGTTTGCGCTTTCCCTATTATACTTATAGGTGTATCATTTAACGCGTGATAAGAAACCGCAGATTCCGACAAAGTCGAAAAATAACTTTTGTATTTCTCGTATACATCTAAACGAACAAAAGAAACCGGTATATAAGTAAATCCAAATAAGGTTAAATGAAAGTGAATAGTCAGTAAAGAACCGTTCGCAGGATGTTGTGCAGAAAATATGTCTTATATGTGTGTACACATATATAAGTAAATTCACGTTTTTCAACGTGTTTTTCGAATTGAAATATCAATTCTTAAATTCATATAGAATGCTAGTTTTGCATTTCATATATGATAGACCCCGAATACCCTCCCTAATTGATTTAAAATATTGCGAAAAAAACTTCTCGGCCAGGAGTCGAACCTGGAATCTCCGGCTTTCCGGGCCGTCGCCTTCCCCGTTAGGCTACCGAGGCACTTGAGAGACGGTATTCCCTAGGAGTAAGTACTGCCAACGGGCGCCGCACTAACTAACTGTAGCAGATTTCGATGAATTGACCAATTACAGTATTTACTGCTAAGGAATACCGTCCCTCTTACCCCTAGCTTCCCGCGTCCACGAAACGATTTATTGACACCGACTGTACACACATATAAGACATATTTTCTGCACAACATCCTGCGAACGGCTCTTTACTGACTATTCACTTTCATTTAACCTTAAAATGTTTAGAGAGCCTGAGATGATTCTTATTTAATTACTTTAAATCCAAATAGTTTGAATCAATTTTTCTCGAAAATGGCTGAGAGGTGCGTCCTATTCCTTTGCTCAAGTATTCTTCTGGCACAGTACTATACTACAAAAAAACCTTATTGAAATCGGTGATCTACACTTTGTGACCTCCCCTTGTGGATTCTAAGCTAGATAAACTATAGATGCGGGCTCTGAGAATCGTCATAGACTATAGGACCTCTACCCCCTTAAATGTAATCCTAGGGGAGGCTCGGGAGCTCTCTCTTTTTGTACGTTTTTGTTTCTTATGCCTCAATTTTCTGTCACGAACGGCCATCATGACGGGCCATCCGTTGTGGGGTCTGTTGAGTAGCATCCAATCGTTTGAGCCGAGAGCCCCCGACGCTAACCGGGTGGGCTCTTTTCCCCTTATGTTGGCCTTTGACAAGGTGAGCCGTTGGGCTCGCTCTTTGTTCTCGTCTGATGTTCCTGTTTGCTTTTCTTACGGCTTCGAACCGTTAGTGTCGTGCCTGCCGGTTGACCTTGTTGCCGGGTTTTCCTTACGGGAGGGACTCGACGCGGAGGCCAATTTTAGGGCAGCTTTTCGTGAGGAGTTACGCGATTCGGTGTGTGTTTTCACGGACGCTTCGAGGTCGGAGGGCTCTCCGTATTCGGGCTATGCGTTGGTTTCTCAGGACGGGCATTACTTGCGCCGGTACAGGTTCGCGGGTTTTGTCTCGTCCTTTTGTATGGAGGCCATGGCAATTGTTGAGACCCTGGAATTGGCGCTTGTGGAAAAGTGGCGTGCGGTCACGGTTTTCTCAGATTCGAGATCGGTCCTTTTAGCCGTGCAAGCCAGGTTTGTCCCGGGCAAGAGCTCGTATCTCGTGCTACGTATTAAGTCTCTGATTCTGAAGCTGACCGAGCGGGGAGTGAAAGTCAAGCTGGTGTGGGTTCCTGGTCATTGTGGAGTGACTGGCAATGAACGTGCTGATGCCTTCGCTAGGAATGCTGTTGGATGTGGCAGGGACTCCCAGGTGGGGGTTTTTTTGGATGAAATAAAGAATTTTTGGAAGTCAAAGATGAGATCAAAGTTGTTAGAGTGGTGTCGGGAGGAGGCGAGAACCAGAGGCAGCTTTTATTGCAGCCACTTTCTATCCGATGCTCGTCGACCATGGTTTGAACAATGGAATTTAAGTCGCAGGTCGGTGACCTCCCTTAATCGCCTCCGCAGTGGTCACACCTTGCGTGCGAGCTTCTTCAGATTCAGAATAGTTGACTCCCTTTTCTGCCGGGTGTGCGGCCGCGAAGAAACACTAAATGTCCGGAATATGAAGAACAAAGAAAATTTCTGCGAGCCGCTTTGGTCGGGTATCTCCCTCACCCTGTCGAATTCCTAATATCCTGCCTTGATAAGGAAGTTACGATAACTGTTTGCATATTTATATGTTCCTTGCCAATTTATATTTAGCATTTAATCTTGGAATGTTACAAAATAGCGTTATATAACTTTTATATATAGATACATATATGTCATACATTTTATGAAAAGTTTTATTTTACTAGTTTTATAACTACAACTAGCTATTAGGATAAAGGGTCAATCTTCTAAATTTACCCAATAGAAATAAGTATGCGTCGTTTTAGTTACTGTCTGATCATTTGACTCTTTATTTATCACTGTACGAATGAAGTATCTTTTGCGATACCAAGTCAAGCCCTTTTTACCTATGTAGCAAACATAGATAATTGTTACCGCAATTTTTTTTTGTTTTTCAGTTTCATTCGGTTTGACTTCGCAATTTTTTCGTGGTACAATAATCTTAGTATAACAATACTTTTAATTTGCGCTATGAGTAAACTTAAAACTTTTATACTTTGTAATACGGTAAATGGTGTTACCTCGTCATGTAAGCGTTGCGCGCGAACCTTTAGACTTAAGGCGCGGTCAGCGGAAGAGTGCCCTACACACACTGCTTCTATGTATCGTTATCTACACCTTGTAGTCACCTAACCCTTTGTCTCTGCTGTATACCAAGCCTTAAAGGAGTAATTCTAGGGCAATTTTTACTTCAGACCGGCTCAGTGGTCTCGCGGCCTGAGCAGAGTTGCAAACTCTGACCCGCTAGCACCAAGAGCACCGAGGTGGTGGGAGCCACTGGGAGCACACAAGCGAGAACCGCCGTCCGTGTGCGTGACGTCACGCTCGGCACTTCGACTCGTGGAAGAGTGCAGACGTATTATGATGTTCCGTCTCCTTTCCATCAAGCCGGCTAGACAAGATGAAAGACGAGAGGCACGTTCATGTTGCGTTGTGCGCTTGTTGCGTATGACAACGTGAAACGTTTTTCCGAGATTTACAATCTTGGGAAATGTATATAATATTATTGATAATAAATGCAATCATCTTCAATTAGAGATGGTCACGTTCAGCAGATACAACTGAGTTAAGAAATGATCACTTATGATTAGATCATACTTTTAGAACCGTTGCAGATTTTGAGGAATAGTCCTATCACAAGTGATCATCTCTCAACTGTTGTGCAACTGTTGTGTCTGCTGAACGCGGCCAATGATAAAACATCTCAAGATACATTGTATATTTGTATTAATTATTAATATAAGTGAACTGCGATAAAGAATTTGTAGAAAAGCATTTAATATATATAAAATATATTATTAGTGTTTTATATTTATATATTTTTATTTTGTAAATTACGAAAAAGAATCTACATTTATAGATGCGTAATCTTAAAGTATTTAATTCATATTTAATTCATATAGACGGAACATCATAATACGTCTGCACTCTTCCACGAGCCGAAGTGCCGAGCGTGACGTCACGCACACGGACGGCGGTTCTCGCTTGTGTGCGTGCTCCCAGTGGCTCCCATCACCTCGGTGCTCTTGGTGCTAGCGGGTCAGAGTTTGCAACTCTGGGCCTGAGTGCAGGGGCTGCGAACCCGGAGGTCTCGAGTTCGAATCCGCTCATCACCTAAGGATTTTTTCCGGGCCGGTCCTTTTCAATCGAGTTTATCGATTGATCGGTGAAGTAAATCGAGACTTCAAAAATTAATTCGAGTGTAATCTCGAATTAATCTACCTCCCACAAGGCGATCATAGTCACAACATCTTGAACACGAGCCTGACACAGATGGGTATACCCACTGTGAAAGAAGGCCGTGTATCGCGTGGTAGCGGAGAGTGAAGACCGCGCGCGTCCGCGCGTCGAAAGTAAACACATCATTATAAATCCGCTCGTTTCACACGTTACGATCCCTATATGTTGACAGCCCGATTTGTCGAATTAGTTGACAACAAAGCGTTTTTTATCAAAATAGAGTTTCATCTCGTGCAATTTTTGATAGCTCTCGACACAGTCGTTATATGTAATCAAATCTGAGATTTTCTTTTCGTTATTTAAATATAAAAAATAAAAATATATATATGCAAAAATATATACATGTTAACTAATAATATGTATTACATAAAATATTTTATATTATATTAGTTTACATATTTACATATACTTATATTTTTTTTAATATGATTGGACAAATATCACATTTTTGATGCAAATAATCTTATTAAATAAATGATTCATATATATGTATATTACATAATATATGTCTTTTTAATTTTAAGTTACTGTTCGTAATTATACGATAAGTTTCATTACGTATTTCATAAAAAAAATTTAATGTTAACAAATATATATATATTTATTATATTAATATTCTAATTTAATATTCTAATTTATTATATTAATATTCTAAAATCTTTTTTTCACTGTCATATTAATAATTCATACAAATATGTTATGTGAATATTTTATTTGGATAATATCATGTCTTTTTACAAGATTACAAAACTGCGTTTCCATATTTTTCACTGCCAGTGCTAAACATCTATGCTTCACGTCACATGTGCTATAGATTTCCAGTAGTGGCAGTGAATATCGGAACGCAGCCTAATATCGAAAAACGTTGTCGTACGGAACAAGCGCGTTACGTACGTTGCTTCGTGGCCGGCTTGGTGGAAAGGAGACGGACCATACTATGTCTGCACTCTTCCACGAGCCGAGCGGCCGAGTGTGACGTCACGAACACAGACGCTGCTGCACTTGTGTGCGCGGCCCCCACCACCTCTGTTGCTCATGTTGCAGCCGGCTAGAGTTTGCACCACTGACAGCGACAGCAGTGACTGGGAGACACAGGGGGTTCAAACTCGCCGTATTTTTTGGCTCCGGCTTTGACTATATAATCATGGACTGCTAGTCGGGAGATCTGACCGTAGACGACATTGAACAGCGCACTCTGAGTTTGGGCCAATAACTAATAGGTCGTCACGTGGTCCTTGCCAGTGTCACCAGTATTATATATATA